ATATTATTTTTTAATACAATTTATATATATTTAATATCATAAATTTTAAATAAATAAATAATTATTTAAAATATATATAAAATTATACAAAAAAATATTATTAAAAAATTATCTTTAAACCATTTTCTAAACACACAAATTAATTACTCATTCATCAAATGCAACACTGCACCGAAAAACATTAAATCACCCAATATTTTCCAAATAGAACCAAACCAATCCTATCCTCGCCTTTTCTTTCCTCAATCAATATTTCTTCTTTCAGCAGTCCAATCTTCATCTGACGCCAAAAGTCCACGTGGACGACCGTGTCCTTAAGGGTGTTATCGTCATTTTGCAACAACCAATCCAAGAAACTCACGTCGTTTAATATCGCGCCTTACTCCGTCCCTTTTCGCCATGTTCCCTTAGAAAAGCTAAAGAGAGAAAAAGTATGAAAGTCCCAAACAGGCCGCAAGGAAGCTACTGCTGATTCTTGGGCAAGGAGAGTGGAAGATCCGACAATGGCGAGCGGGTGGGTCAAGTCTCTGCAGTGCAAATCCAGGGCATTCGAAGATGTTTACCATCCCAACCCCAAACACCTCATACCCAGTTCTAGTTGTAGAAGATCCTCGCAAAGCATCAAAGACGTGGTCGACACGGCGAAGAAGAAACCCAAGAAACCCAATGAGAAATCTTCATCGAAGTTCCCCAAACCCGAACCCACTCTCAATCCTCCGCCGCGGATTCACCACACCAACTCTTCACGTTCTGCCCGCAACCCAGATCCTTTTCTGACCGAGCTGCCCGAGGGTCACCCTTCGAGGAATGTCGTAGAGATAATCTTTCACACTAGCTGGAGTCCCAAGGCGTTCATGGGTCGGATTGAGGTCATATTCAAAGTGCAGAACGGGCCGAGAACGGTGGCACGGTTCGAGGAGTATCGCGAGATGGTGAAATCTCGGTCTGGTTCGGATGGTCCGGCTGACGATGAGAATGCAAGGTGCGTGGCGGACGGGAATGAGGTGATGCGTTTTCAGTGCTTGGGTCCCACGTCAGGGACCGGTGGAGTGAACGACACTTGGTTATTTTCCGCCGGAAAGGGTGCCGCTATCTGTACATTCTCCGGCAGCGGCGGGGCACATGAGAGTGCTGGAGGCGGGAGAGGGAGGAGGGCGATGTTAGTCTGCCGAGTCATCGCGGGTCGTATCTCGAAAAGGGTCGGGTTCGGATACGAGGCGCTGCTCGATGGACGAGTCGGGTATGACTCAGTGAGTGGGGACAACGGGGAGTTACTCGTGTTTGACTCACGCGCGGTGTTGCCTTGCTTCCTTATTATCTACAAATTGTAAAAATAACGCTTTTCTTTTTCAATTTTTTTTTAAAATATTTTATTTTATTTTTATTTTTTATGATGGGTGAATCTTCTTTATTGCATTTATCAACACAATTTTTTGTTTCTTGTTTTTTTGTTTTTTTTTTTTTTAATTTTTCTAGGGTCTCTTCCTTATATTTCAAAATCAGAAAATTGGGTTGATAAATGCGAAATTGAATGTCATTAGCTGCCTAATTAATCAAATTACGTTTTTCTATTTACTACATATTTACTGTTCCTTTTTTTTTTTTAATGTTTGGTGTGTGAAAAGAGAGAAAAAAGCAGTAGTTACCGTTGATATGGCGTTTCTAAAGTGGGTCATTGAAGGACATTTTTTCAAATTTGTTGACTAAAAATGAAGAAAAATGTTGATTCATAAAAAGGGTTTAACGATCAATTAGGTGATGATTATGGTGGTGGTGGTGGTACATACACACCCCCATTTCTTTCTTTGATAGCAACTGTTATGATGATAATTGAAACGATTAGGGTCGAAGCCTCTGCTGGTATAACAATTTTTCAAACCGAAATCCTTATGAATTTTTATGGATTACAACTCTCCTTGTTGATTGACGTTTGTGTGATGTTGAGTTGGGTGTAACAAATTATTGAATGCCATGAAATCTATTAAGACTCTTAACATAACGTAACCACCTATCTTTGTCTGGTTTGGTGGAATATGATGATCCATGGGATTTGGCTATAAAGATGTAATTAATGATTAAATCTGCCCATAATTAATGATAATGATGAAGTACTAGTGAGCATCATTTTAATCATTTAATGTCAAAAGTGCTACTACTTGTAGGATTCATTTTTGTGATTCTGGTTTTCAGAAGTTTGCACTCCAAATCTTGTACACTGCATTATAATGGGCAGTAGTAATATTTGTTATAAACATGATGATGATGATGAGAGCTTTTAGCATTTAAAAATCATCTTCTTTTCTGCTAGATTTTGATTATGTAAGTGTATTCAATGTAAGCTGCTGCCTGAACTTCAAAATCAGGAACAGAAACAAGAAAACTAGATTGCAACCTCCCAAACTGTTCCAATGACAATTAAATCTTCTAACATTACTTCCTTCAGAGGAAAATGAGGGGTTGAAATATGGTGTATGGTCACATCTCTGATGGAAACTTAAAAGGTACTGTCTGCAACTTGAAGAATAAATTTCTGCTATGTTTGGCGGCCTTGTTTTATGTTCAGAAACCTGTTGCTGTTTGGAGTTCAAAATTGACTAGGCCAATAATATAGAAATTATATAGGATAAGCTATGTAAATTCATTTTCTTTATATAAAAAATGAGAATATCCAAGCATTTCTCCGCATCGCATGGCATGAATTCGCTGAAACAAGGGTCTTTTTAAAATCACTACAGCACTAATGAAATGAAAGGTAGATTCTAGATGAAGGGAAGAAGACAGCAGAAGGCCTTTAATGTACATTTCAGCTCAACATACATATGGCCTTCAATTTAGTGAGATTCCACCAGTACATATAATGACTTGCCGTTCAAGCGCTCCCGACCCTAGCAGCCATTAATACGTGTTAAAGTTCTTCCGTGAGTGACAAACAAAGAGCAACAGAAGAAGAACCAAGTATTAATTGGTGGAACCACTGTACTGGGATCATTTATCTTTCCTAAAACTGAAAATAGAAAAGATTAGATTGGAAATTTAAGACGCACCTTTAAATCTGGTAACTCAATAACGCAGGCACATTCAACTACTTTTGCACCAACTTGTTCTGGAAGTAAATGAGATTAAACAATCAGCACAATGATTGTAAATAATGTGAACTTTAAGAAAAGAACATTAACAGAGGCGTGTTGTGTTTATGGTATATGCAGAGTCAGGAGACAGATGTAAATGGCATGTATATTTCTCATCTTTCTTCCCTTTGACACGAGCCACACAACCATTAACTTACAATTAGGTGCGCACACAATAAAACAGAGTTAATACATACATCGTCCCATTAATGCATCATTACCTCATTACTATTCTAACATCTAGGTTGGTATCCATGGATTCATTAATGAGATTAGGCTGCCAACGAATGTCAACTCATTTGATGTCCTTTGTAAGTTCTAAAATTGCCAACCTAACAAACTCCCTTTTCATTTGATGTCTGTGTTTTTCTTAAAAGGTACTTTGCATGTTAATACTTCTGAGTGGTTTCTTATTGTCTCTATTTAGTCAAATTATTAAGCACATATCCAAAATCTGAACAGTTAACAACTCGTAACAAAGTTAGAACTTAGAAGTACCCAATAAATTCATAGCAGCACAGAGAGTGCCTCCAGTTGCTATCAAGTCATCAACAACTAAAGCACGTTCACCAGGTTCAACTGCTCCAACATGCATCTGAAGGCAATCACTTCCATATTCCAACTCATACTCTTCGGAAATAACTTTACCTGAAATTATCCCACTGAGTTACCAACATCTTCTAAAGAGTATATATCAGACGGAGATTAATGCTAAAGAAAAATGTTGAATGTCCAGAAATTTAAGATGTTACAGAATAATAGTAAAATAAATAAATTAAACATGTAGATTGACAGTTATCAGGCAGAAGAAGACAGAAGAAGTAAAGCAGGGCAAATAAGATGCATAATGAAAATGCCAATAAAATTTATTCCTGTTGAAAAACTACCAAACCATATTTTATCCACACTGTTAGAATATCCATATTACAATATTCATGTTTTCATACACAATCATCACATCAACTATTGTATCTAGAGGTCAAAAGGCGAGAATTTAGTCATGAAGTATCGCTCTAAGTATTGAACCTCTTCTTGGGAATGTATGTAGCTGGGACTGGAGGCTACTGAATGAGGACAGTTTAAGCGGCCACAGCTACTAAATGAGGACAGGTTAAGTAGCCACCGTATGGAGGAAGCTGAGGGCAGCACAGCCAAGGCATGAGCAATCAAAGTTTACCTTTCTATTACTTTCCACAAAATCAAAGTCGAGTGATCATGCCAAAAGTCAGTATCATATTGCATCAGCACTACAATTCTAAACAGCAATTGGAGGGTATTCTATTCTGTTACAGAGTATAAACTCTATTTCGAACAATAAATCAACAACAAGATAGAATGGGTAAAAGCTGCTAGTGAGAATTGGCACAAATGTTAAATATAATGTAGAGAAAAGTTATGAGTGAAAATTTATACCTGGCAGCTTCCTTGGCTTTCTCAAGGGAACAAATTTCGCTCCTATTGCCAACGCTATGGGTGGGCCAAATATAAAACCCCGAGCCTCTATTCCTGTGGTATAAACAATCACCCTTCAGAACATAGCTTTCCAACTAGCATTTGTGTACAACCAAGATATAGCAAAAGAATTATTACAAAATAAGATACAGCAAAAGAATTACAATACTCCAACAAGGAAGTCCCAACCCCCAAACCACTACCCCCACCCAAAAAGACAACCTAAAATTTTGCAATAGATACATATTTCAGATTTATTTAATACATCTTCCTAATCCACTCAGTACTCACAACATCAAAAAGAGACAGCATTTTCCCACCAGGAGGAAAAAAAAATACAAATCTTATGCCTTTTTCAATCATAACCAAATCTTCATAAATGGTCTGCTTTTTATGTCGGAGTCCAAATGCCAAAAATTTTAAGTTTTAAAGATATCAGTTTCAATATGGAGAACTAAAAAGTTACTATAATGATACACACTATCAAAACTCACTAGGACGAGCAATCTTGATGACAACAACGCCAGTGATAATAAGATGACACTAATTAGTCGTAACACCCTACCAAAAATGCAGCAACTTGCCATGTGAGACTACCAATCCATAATGGTTCCACAATCACAAAGAGACAACATAAGTCCACATCAATACAAAAATAGAAATGCTAATGCACACAGATTAGGACAAAGCACATGAATAATAAATTCATACAAACAACTGCCATTCCCACATGTGATTCAATCCAATCATCAGCCTCATAAAACCATATAACGAAAAGATTGAAGAGAGACAACTGTGTTTCTATTTAAATATTTTATTGATTTTAAACTTCAAAGTCTCTAGAGGCTAGATTACAATCTCACGAATTGAATAAACAAAGTCTACTAAAATTACCATATATGACAAGAAAGTGCAACAATAATAATACTCTCCAATTATTCAGCTCGAAAACATCCATTCCACTAATATTCAAACAGAAAACAAACAAATGTGTGACGAAGAAATAGTGAAATCAACATAGTAAGACAGAAAATCAAGTCGAGATGAGATCTAAGCAACATAAAAAGAAAAAAGAGATTGGAAATTCACACAACATAAAAGAATCATCCCCATGGCTTTCACAATTGACATCATCTGGGTCCAAGTTTAATCAAGGTGGGCATTCATGATCCATCACCAACCACCATTAACCATAATCTGATCTAACCACATGCCCATCACCAGAACCAGAGAGAGAGAGTAAATGAAACCCGCTCAAAGGGGAAAAGAAAGGAACTTGGAGCCGTAGAGGGAGTGAATAATCAATGACAAGCCCACTAACAAGGGTGATAGTCAAACTAGAAATGAATCAAAAACAGTCACTTCCATTCCATAAAGTCCCTCAAAAGCATTCAAAAAGACCCCAGAAACTTATGCAATTTGAGCACTTTCCTGTTTACTCCTGTTTCCACAGGAGCTACTTTCTCTTAAGCATGGACCCCACCCAACTTGATGCCAATCAAAAGAGTGATAAGAAGAGGTTATTGAAAAGCTTTGGATGAAATCTTCAGCACAGCAAGAACAATAATAGCAGATAAAGGATGTTAAAAATAGGGTCTTTTTTTTCTTTCAGTTTCTTTTTACCTGCAACAACTGAAATGTTCATGTCTCTGTATCTCTCAACGAACAAATCTATCGTATCCTTGAATGCTTTTGGATCCAGTAGCAGAGTCGTGATGTCTTGAAACATGATACCTGCCATTTAACCATAAAAAGACATTAATTGCCTGGGAAACAAACTATAAAGGATTAAGGTTCTTTGTCCTGTTTCCAGGCACCCAGAATTTCTAGACGATTCAAGCAAGGAACTCCCATAAATTAAACGATCTCTTACAACAAACAAAGGTTTAGATTGAGTAGAGATTATGGTATTAAGTGTAAAAGAGAAAAATTATGTCTTCTTTCCTGTCTCTAAACAAAGAAAAACTAAGACTCAAACTTCCTATCATTTTCCTGCATTTTCTCTGCAATCAATCCGAATAAACCCCAAAAGAGAGTATGGAACACAAAATAAAACCCAGAGTAAATGCACACACAAAAAAGAAGAAAAAAAAAAGGGGGGGAAGAAGAGAGAAGGAAATGAACCTTGTTTGGGGAAGTTGGGGACAACCCGAATCTTGGTTTGGATGCCATTGATACGAGGATCTTTGTCTCTGTAAGCCGACATTGTCTTTTGCTTTATATATCTGTCTATGTTTCAATCTCCTTCTTGTAAATACAATAATAAGAAACAGAGGAAGCTAAACTCCCCCTTCTGTTTCCCTCTCCCTTATTCCTACCTCCCTATCCCCCACAAAAACACCCAAAAATACAAACACCTAACAAAGAAAAGAGAGCAGGAGAGAACAAAAGAATAGTGGGTTCTTCTTATATAGAGATAATAAAGATAAATGGCCTCAACATAGAGATTAAAGATAAAGGGCCTTGCTGATTTGATTTGGTGAGGGAAGGGAAGAGAGAGAGGCACTCTGCACAAAAAACTACTCTCCTAGTAAAGGAGGAGTGGTGAAAGAAAGGATTTTAATGGAAAGTTCTTTACTTTTAGATTATGGTGCAGTTGGGCGTTTAAAATGTATTTATTATTATTACCTTTTTTTGTTTTTTTTAATAAATTTCTTTTAATTTTTAATTTTTTAATTATAAATTTTAAATAAAAATTTAACCTATTATATAATATAATATGATAATTAAATTTTTTTTAATTAAATAAAAATACTTAATAAAAATTTAATATAAATTTTTTTTAATTATTATTTATTTAAATTATTAAATTACCATCTAAAATTTATATTTAAAAAGTTAAAAATTTAACTAAATTTACTAAAAAATAAATGAAAGAAGTATATTTTTTATAAAAAAAATTATTTTACTTTCAATCCAATACCTAGTAAATAATTTTAATTAAGTAGTTGAACCTTTATCTTCTTATAATAATTAATAAGAAAAAAATAATTGAATACATCCTAAACACAAATTACAAAAATTATTAATAAATAATAAAATTATATATTTAAAATTTTTAAAGTTTCTTCTAAAAATTTTTTAAAAATTATCTCTATAAAAATTTTAAATTTATTAAAAAAAATTTATTTTTAAAGGCAAATATTTTTTAAAATCTACCATCTCCTTCAGAGAAAAGTTTACCTTTAAAAGAAAAAAAAAAAAAAACAAAAACAGAATCACGAGGCCCTCTCACATTCACATTAATAGGAACTATATGCTTTGTCTTTCTCTACAGTCTACACTATTCTCCGCCAACCTTCAAGTAGCCGCGGCTTTGCTTTTGGGGTGTTTTTTTGGCGCCCTTCTACAGTTTACCCAAATTTACACTTTTCCTTCCACCTTTTCTCTCAATCTCAAATTAGTCCCACTGTTTTCTTAAAATAATAGTGAGATATTCCAAATGAGGGTTAGGTTTTTTTTTTTTTTTTTTGATAAAGAGGTAAATTAGTTAATGACTCGAATGTTAAGTCTCCACATTCTACTGGTTTTTAAGATTTTTTTAAAATATTATAATTTAATTAGTTAAAAAAATTTTCTTTTTCTCTTCCATTTTTTAATTTAAATATACAATTAATAAATTTAATTTTTAATTTTTAATTTTTGAGTTTAATTGTTTATTTTTTATGTCATTTAATGTACTTATTTTTATTTTATTTTTATTTTAAAAAATAATTTTAATATATATTAAATAAATACTTATGTAAGTAGTAATTAATTAAAAGTAAATATAAATTTTATTAATTAATTATTATATCTTTATTTTCATTAATTTAAAAAACAAAACCTATTAAAATTAAATTATATGAGTATTTAATTGTTACCAAATTTTATACCTTATGTACTTTGTATTTATTTATACAATTGTACTTTACTGACCAAAAAAAAAAGTCAATTCCACTTTCATGGAACAAAAGGAGTGTGGTTACAACCACACAATGTAACGTTGGTGTCCTATAATTTAATTAATATTTTATTAATTTATAATTTTTTTAAAAGATATT